AAAGCATTCGGTTCCTCCATATTCCATCGCAGCAACAGCTTTATTACTTTAGTCTTCCTATAAACATCTTCCCATTAGATATATTTCAGAAATCATGTCAAGGCAGCAAAAGCCAAGAAGCAATATACAAATACCTGGTCTCCAACATTGTATTTATAATTCCAAAAGAAGATATTTCATAGTCCAAAGAGACTATTCCAAAGATTATGACAGAGCCATTTAAATATATGATAACAGCAGCAAGAGTAATAATTGCTTCAAAGTGGAAAGCTGAAAAATTGTCCAGTTGTTAAAAATTGGGAAAACAAGCTGAGTATGCAACAATGGCAAAGTTAATGAATTATGAGCAGAAGATCAATGAAAGAATTTACTCAAAGATGAAAGGCTTATGAGCCATTTAAATAATTGTTAAAGAAAATATAATTTTTACCAATGTCTGCAATTACTATTCTAAGCCAAAGCAATGTTATAATTTATAACTAATTAATAGACTGGACAAATTTTAATTGAGAATTGAATGGTTTGCATGGGATGGTGGCTGATAGAGACTTTTGTTTATTCTAAATGTGTTCATTATTATAAATGTGTACAAATGGAGATATTGCATGCTAAATTTGTGGAACGACCCCTAGCACCTTCTTTCCTATATATTTTCTTCTTTTACTTTCTCAAAATAAAGATTTGTGACTTGAAACAAAATGACACAAAACAAGATGAGGTGAGACAAAGCAAAGCAAAACGAAATGAAACGAAACAAAATTATTCCATTTGTGGGGGAGAAAAAGAACAGAAAAGGTTTTTTGAGGTTTAAAAAACACCCCCCCCCCCCAGTCTTCCTTTTTCTCCAGGCTTTCATATTTTTCTTCAGCACTAAGTTTTGCGATTACTTTAGTTAGGATGGGGCACGTCGGGCCAAAATGGGGGTGGGGTGGGGGCATTTAAACATTTATATGCTGTATAATACGTTGGGAGCCATCCAGAGGGCCTACAGCTAATGAGGTGGCATACAAGTCAAATAAATAACTAAATAACACAATAAATAAGGATTCAAAAGCCACTTGCAGCTCCCTGCAGCTGCATTTTCATCAGAAAGTCAGGACACAACTTCAAATTGAGTAGTAAAAAGGCACGTTTTGGGGGCATTTTCCGGGTTCTAGAGCCATCAAGACCCCATTTCCCTGCACCCCTTTGTCTCCAGGCAGCCCAAATCCCGACAGTGACGCTGCAAACACACAACCCCAACACTCGCCACATCGCCAGCTCGGGCACGTTTCCGACCTTCCTTGAAACCCACGGCCACGGCGGACTCTCACTGGGTCCATTCATGGTGCCTCCCCTCCCAAGCCAGGCTTTTTAAAGCAACGGTCGGAAAATAGCACAGCCGAAACTACAAAGCACCTTTTCAGAAGTCTGCATTAGAGACTCTGCAGGGAAAACGCCACGGGGCTGAAAGTCATGAAGGGCGAGGGAGGGGCGGTGCAGAATAGCCCTCTGGAACAGAAACGGGACAAACACCGGGGGCGGGGGAGGATGCCAACCGCCTCCGTTCTGCCCTGCTCCAGATGTTCTGGATGTCAGTGCCCATCTGCCATAGCCAGCATGGCCAGTGCTCAGGTATGCAGGCTTTGTAGTCCCAAACATCTGGAAGGAACCAGGAAAAGGACAGCTGTGCTGCCGAGCACGGGGATGCCTAGAGGCCACTAGCAAAGCATGGGGCAAAACAGGGCAAATCAGCTGCCAGGTGGGAGGACACCTTCTCCCTGCCCCCAAATCTCCACCCTCCCCTCCCAGATTTAAAATTCAGCCTCCCTGCAAGCCTGCATCTGACCCCCCCACCCGCCCCCAGGAGGGGCGCTGGCCTGTTGGGATGGTTTAAGGAAGCAACAGGGCTGCATGCTGCCCTCTTTGCCACCTCCCGGCTCAAAATTATCTCCCCTTCTAAGCAGGACCTGGCTCCGCTCCCTCGCCCCCGGAAGACCGGGCTGCCACAGTCCTCTCCCAACCTAATTTCAAGGGGAAGGGGAGTCCACGAGGAGGTTTAAAAGAGAGGTTTTAAAAAACAGGCCATGGCGAGGCCATGCAAGCAGGGCTGTGTCACCCAGACTCAACCTCCCCCTGCCTTCCCTGGACAGGCTTTCGTTTGCACACGATCAGGTCTCCCCACCCCCGGTTTTCAATTTAAGGCATTAAATTCATGCCTTTCTTGAGACCACTGCAGGGAGGCATTTGGCTGGCTTCAGCTGGATACAGAATGCTGGACTGTGATTCATCAGCCAGCAGGACTCATTCTGGGGGAGAGCAAGGCCATTCCACCAGTCCTGCTGAAAGACTGCCTAAAGTTTTCCTCTACCCTCACCTGCCCCTTTTCCTTGTGTGTCGTATTTTTATGTGTCAACACTGAGGCAGACACTGCTGTGCTTTACTCACTGTACACAAGCAAACCCAGCCTTCCAGATGCACCCCACTGGGACTCTTCCCAGGTGACATAAACCCTTTGCCCAGCTGCTTGTCATTTAGTGGTTTCCTAAGTTTCCCTCAATTCTAAAAGGTTGAAATATCCCCGCTATGGCTTAAGTACTAGCCATAAGAATTTTAAGCTAAAATAGGCTGCTATTCCAAACGGAACCCCCCGCCCTCCGAGTTTGCCACCTGTGTTCACACCTGCCGACATCAGAATTGCTTCTCTGAAACTGACGTGGGTTCCTGCGCCAAAGGCTTTGCTCCTGGTGGCAACGTGGTGCCCGTGAGCACCTCAGCTGCAGGCGCTGCCCCGCTGCAGCTCCATTGCTCTGGGAGGCCCAGCCAAGCCGCCCGGCAGCCCCTTGCTGGCCGTAAGGCGCAAGCTGTACTCGCTGCATTGGGTGCACCTTTGAAGCAGCGCTATCCCGACGCCTGCCGCAGCGCCCCCGTTCTGAGTTTCCAAAACACAGTCTGAATTTTGCTGATCACGGATGAAAGACGGATGAAAGATGCAGGGGAAAAGGCACTGGATGGAAACAGTTTCAAAGCACAACATGGTCACAGCTGGAAGCACCACATGCCAAAGAAGCAGAACACCCTCGAACACCCCCGGCTTCCCACGGTCTCCATGCCGCAACTCCCCCCATACCCGTGTCAGGCCAAGCCACACTCAGGAAGGATTGTGTGAAGCGTCCAACCGTGCTTTCCGGGGAGAGTCCATCACGTCGGGTCCCCCTCCCTGCCACCTGGATGGCGATTCCCCCAAATAGTCATGTGCATTGCTCGTCTTCAGCCCCAGGATGGTTTCTCGGACGCCCCCCTTGTTTCGCAGGCGCCATCTTGACGGCAGACAAACAAATTATGTGCCACTAAGCAACACGGAAAGCCAAAAGGCGCGCGTACTGGCAGCCGTGTGTCTGGTTAACCGCTTGCACCATGAGGGTTTCCTATTGAACTTTTTAAAAGGGTTTTCTGAATAAAATTCCTTTGCTATGAAAGGCAAGATAACAAGTTGCCCACAGGATTGACTTAAAGCAAGAGCCTGCAAAAAGGTGATAACAGAAGCGCTGGACCAACACAACCAGGATGCTATTGAAGTTTTGGTACAGATAAAAACTGATTCCTGGGCCACAAAATCAAAGACTTCAACTATTACAGACCTCAGGAGGGGAGGCAGGCCACTTCTGGCCAGAGATTATGAAAACCAATAAGAATTAAACGTCCAGGACAAAATGAGGGCAGCAGGCAGCGATAAACCTCGCAACTGTAATCCTAGCCATAGCGCCTCAAAATCAGTAATAAGCACAAACAGGACAACGCTATCTCAAGACAGAGGGAGAGCTGGTGCCACTTCTAAAAAGTCTCTGCTCCAAGGAGCTCTGTCAGCAAAGATGAGCTGCACTTTGATGGGGCCCAGGCTTGATGGGAGGAAGTTGCGCCGCCAACCCTGATGGATTCCCCAAGCCTTTCCTGAGTTACAAAAAGCAGCTAGCAGTTATTTTGGAAACCAAGAAGAATATGAATGCTTGAGCAGGCACCATGATGGCTGCCAAAGTTTCAGAAGAATCCCAGAGGTTCTCTTGAACCTCACCAGAGATGCTGGAGCACCACCCTTTTATGCCCCTCACGCCCTGAGTTTGGGGGAAATTCCTTTAGAAACAGAATATCCTATTCTAGGACAGAACAGCCTGGCAGCCTTCCTCCATCTGGTTCCCTCCATGTCTAGGACTATTGCTCCTATCATCCTTAGCAGCAAGTCCAGGAGGGTTGCAGATGTCAGACACAGAGCAAAACATCACAATAGTTCACCCTTGGAAAACAAACTTTCTTGACGGAACTTGCAGACCTGTGGACAATTACGTCACTGAGAGCCCGTGTGCAGCAGTGGTTAAAAGCGTGGGACTGGGACTCAGCCGATCTGGGTTCAAGTTCCCACTCAGGCACGGAGCCAACTGGGTGACATTGAGCCAGTCACTCTCAGCCCAGCCTACCTCACAGGGCTGTTGTTGTGGGGATGAGCTGGAGAACAGGAGGAGAATTCTATAAGCTGCTTTGAGTGCTTTGTAAGAAAAAAAGTGGGAGATAAATCCAATCAATAAATTACGGGAACCAGTGTGATGTAGTGCTTAGAGAATTGTGAGCTTTCCTCACTTGGCCATGAAGCTCACTGGGTGCCTTTGGGCCAGTCCCTCGTGCTCAGCCCAGCCTACCTCACAGGGTTGTTGTTGCTGTGTATCACCTACCTTGAATTCCTCATAAGAGGAATATATATGCAAGGTAATTCATAAGAACTCTGATGATAACACTGAATCATAAAGCCCCCATTCTGGGCTCAGGAAAAAGTGAGCAAGGAAGGCAAGGCAGTTCTGCTAGCTCGAACAGGGAAGAAAAAGCAGTGCGAGGCCTGGGAGACAGGACGGACCCCTGGGGCCGCTCACAGCAGGTCGGCAGCGGCGCCGTTGCGCAGTTGCTCCCCCAAAGCACAGCGGCGACTTGTGGGAGCTGAGACAAGCTGCCAAGGGGTCAGACGTCGGGCTTACCTCCGTCCATTTGCCATTGACTTCCATAAATAAGACGCAGAAGGGGTCGGATTTGGAGGTGACATCTCGGTCGAGGAGATTTTGGCCGCAGACAGAGAGCTCGACTTTGCAGACGCAATGCTGGGGTCCCACAGGCATGGAGGGGCACGGCGTGACGATGCAGGCCATAGACTCCGGCAGCAGCAACTCCTGGCAGTCTGCAAAGGACAGAGAGAGGGAGAGAGATTTGCTGAAGGCTTGCGGAGCAGGACGGCACCGCAGCCGACCTCGGGACAGAGGCGGCTTGACTGTTTCTCCAGCACTGGAAAAGCACCGTCCAGGCTTCTCCAGCATTTAGCACACCAGATGACTCTGTAAAACTGCTCTTTACAAATCCCATGCAATTTGAATTGGAAATACAAGGCTTTTCGCGTTGCAAGACAAGCCTAATTTCCCACCCCTAACCCAAAAGCGAGACCCTCCCCAATGCTAAATGCCGCCGTGGGGCTGATGCATGTCAGATGTTCCATGACAGACACGCCTATGACCTTTCTTATTCTTTCCCTTTCTCCTTCTCCCTTCCCTTTTGCCCTCTGTTCCAGGCTTTTCACATCCACAGCACCTGAAAATTTCCTAAACTGCATGCTCTTTAAGCATCTCTTCCAATGCATGCCCTGCTCTTATCCACACCTGAGGACCACTGTGAAAGCAAAGACAGGCAAGCTGCATTGATGAAGCAAATCCACACTTCTCAGCTCTTCTTTGTTTATATTTGATGTGTTTGCAAATTTCAGAGTTGCCTTTTGGCCCGCACAGTACCCCTCCCACCAACTCACAGGTAAAATGACACAGGCTAGTCTGTTACTGTTTTCATTATCTCTTTCCTTGAATCAAGGATGAGCTGGATGTACCTTCGCAGAACTGCCACTCTTCCAGCTTAAAAGCATCCTCCCCGGTTCAATGGACCTGCTTCCACAGGGCCTGGCATTAAAATCCCTATTTGCAGCATCTCTGTATTCAGAAAAGGTTGCAAGGACTGCAAAGATACTTGCTCACTGCAGCTGCCAGCCGCTGTGGGGCACCCATTTAAGGGGTGGGAATTGGCTCCAGGCCCCCTCCCCTCCCACCCCTTTCTGCCAAAGCCGATGGGATCATTTGGAAGGTCCAGACCCACCTGAAGAACCCAAGCACACCCTGAGCCCCACCAGGGCTTAAATTGCAGGAGAAGAGCTTGGTCTGAAGCTGCAGCTGCAGCTCCAGAGTAAAGAGAACTAGCAGCAGTCGGCAAGGAAGGTTTCTTCGCTGAGCCTTCTCTGCCACCTTGGTTGCTCTGCACATTCTCAGGGGAACCATTGATTCCAAGCTGATTTCTTGGGGCACTTCTCTCCCACTCCGCAGCCAAATGGGCTCCTGGAGCAGGTTGCGGTCCCTGCCAGCCAGCCTCCCACAGGAAAAAAAATCCCCCGCCAGGCAGGAAGGGGGGGGGGAAGGAAAGGTGAGCTTTTCACCAGGTTTGGTGGAATCTAGAGGATCGGGGGAAGACGGGGCTGGCTGCTTGGCGGTTGGGTTTCATCGCAACGCAGATGATGCACAACCCCACCTGAGTGTTTCAGCTGATGCCAAGGGAGCGGTGGTGGTCTTGAATCGCTGCCTGGATGCAGCCAGAGATTGGCTACAGGTACAGGTACACAAACTGAGGTTCGATCTGGACAAGGCAGGGGCTCCGATGAGCACTAGATGGGGAAGAGAGGATGGGGAGGGAAGGCTAGCCTGATACTAAAACTACAGAGCCTGCAGCCTGTCACAGCCTTTGCAATGCACAAATCATACCATCCTGACTTACAAAGCCGTCAGAAAAATTCACAGTGCAATTCTACATATGTTTATTCAGAAGTGGGGCCTACCATGTCCAACAGAGCTTACTCACGAGTAAACAAGTGCCAGGTTTGGCACATGCACGTGTTGCATTTTGGACTTCCGATTTCACTCGTGAATACTATTACTGCAATGGCGAAATATGCAAACACGAAGAGATACGTTCTTCCCCACCCAACAGCTGGCATGATATCCACATCACATTTCCAAGTATTTTGCAATGCTTCTGGCTAAGCATTTCCTAACTTAATTTACCTCTCAACCGTTTGGTGAGATAACCCATGCGCTGGGGGAACAATGGCAGAAAAAGTCAGCGACTTCTTCTCCAGAACCACCCAGGTGGCCCAGAGCAAAGCTGGGACTCCGGTTCTCCCACGCACAAGCTGAACAGCTCAGTCTAACACGGATGCGCATGCACACTCCTGTGTATGAGCACATGCGCAGGAAAGGAGAGCAGGGAAATACCAAGGTTCGTTGGCTCGATTTCAGAGAAGCTGGAGGTTCATCTCCATCTTCCGCGGCAGAGGGTGTTCTGGTTTTGTTCATGAAAGGCTTGATGCTGGCCAAACGGCAAGGTTACGCAAGGGGAACAAGCGTTGTGGTCACCGACCACACAATTTGCAGTCCTTCTCCTCCCTCCAAGTCTGATAACCCTTCACGGCTGTTTCCACGGGCCCATTAAAACCTCAAAAAGATGCCAGATGGCTATCGAGCGTATCCACCTACCATTCCTTCCCTCCACCCTTCTTTCTCCCTTTTTTTAAAAAAGATACCCTAAAAATAAGCTTAAAACAAGCAGGCTTGATCTATTTATATCACATTGTCTCTTTTCCACACCAAAAACACATTTGCAACAGCTGTGTTGGCACCAAACGTCTCTCTTGGAGGGACAGCTAGTAAGGGAAAACGGCAGCGGTTTGATCCTGAACACACGGGAGCCAGCGCTGGTCCAAACTTTGCGTAGGCCCATTGAAATGAACCGGATGGAAGTATTTGCAATTTTATTTATTTATTTAGAGTATGTGTATGCCGTCCCATCGCATAGCCTCAGGACAGGTTACATAAAATAAAACATAATACAAATAAAATCCAGATCCACCCTGGCTGCAGATTAAAACCTATAAGCTGAAGTTAAAAGTTATTAAAATATTGTTGAAATAAAAAGGTCTTAGCCTGGCGCCAAAAAACAAATAACGACGGCACCAGGCGGACCTCTCTGGGGAGCGCATTCCACAGATGGGGCGCCACCGCAGAGAAGGCCCTCCTCCGGGTACTTTGCTTCCTGATATCTCTTACGGAAGGCTCCCGGAGGAGGGCCTCTGCCGCCGATCTCAGGGGGCGGGAGGGCAAATACGGAAGCAGGCGTTCCTTTAGGTATCCAGGTCCCAAGAAGTTAGGACTTTATAGGTAATGACCAGCACCTTGATTGAGCCCGGACTTCGATGGGAAGCCAGTAAAGCTGGTAGAGGACTGGGGTTATATGAGAACAACGCCCAGTCCCCATCAGCAACCTGGCCGCTCTGTTTTGCACCATCTGAAGTATCCGGACTGTCTTCAAGGGCAGCCCCATGCTGCCTTGTGAGGGCAGTGCCCTCAAATCATGAAAAAACCCTTTCAGTATTTTTAGACATTATTTACATTCCTATCCCCACCCTTTTCCCACTGCAAGGAACTCCAGGCTGTTTACAGTGGCTGCTTCTACTTTCTCTTCTTCTCATAACAACTGTGTGAGGTAGGCTGAGATCGGTCCAAAGTCAAGCGCAGTCCTTTGTAGCCAAGTGGGGACCAGAACCTGGGTTGCCTAACACTCTAGCCACTACACCATACTGCCTCTCAGTTTGAAGCAACAACTCACGTGGTCCTCAGTGGCTACGGGCCACCATCTGAAGCCATTCAGGCTTCAGAGACTAGGATAGTAGCCCTCCATGTGAACGGGCTTTAATGATCCCGTGGGGGACTGGATGTCAGTCTAGAAAAGCAGCCATTACAATATAAAATCAACAAACAACAACAATAAAACAACACAATTAAACTCTCACAAGAGACTAACCAAATAAAATCTCAATGACATGATTAAACAAAAACAAATCATGCATTTATATAATTAAAAACCTGTGCACTGACATAAATAGTCCAAACAGTGCCAATGGTGCGCCAGAAAAGAACAGTCTTTGCCAGGCGCTGGAGAGCCTCTGGCAGAGGAGCGTTCCAGAACTGGGGGCCACCCTGGAGGAGGCCCTGCTCCTTGCAGCCTCGCCCTTCGCCTCTTGGGGAGAGGAACCCCTAGGAGGGCCCCAGGCGAAGATCTTAGACAATGGGCAGGAATATATGGAGAGAGGTGCTTCCTATGAGACTGCGGTCCCAAGCCGTTTAGGGCTTTGCACATCATAGCTAAAACCTTGACACTGAAAACTAGGGAGACCAGACCAATATTCCCCCCACTCCCCGCAAGCACACGGGTCAGTCTGGTAAGGATAAACAAATTATCTCGAAACACGCAACAGAGTTTGCCTCATATTTGTCCAAATTATCTTTGACTGGTTAGATGGCCAAGCCCAACCAGCCCCCTGATCCTGGGCCCTTTGGATGTGCCACACTTTGGGGGGACGGCATAAGCCAGGACTTCTGCTGCCACTTAGCCCAGCTGCCCCATTTCTCCCATCATCCTGCTCCCGTGGAAGGCCTGGAGCGCACCAGCGAGAATGTTTCTCTGTGGCCTGCAGTCCCTTCCCTTCTCCCCCAGCCTCAGGGCTCTGGGGACCAAGCCATTTGTTGCCTTTGACTGAGATTTTTAAGGTGCATTGCTGGCCAACTCTGGAGTCATATTTCACTTTCTGGGCCACAGCGACTCAAAATGTAGGTCTGGATACACCCCCATCTGCCACCTCTTCTGCACAGGGCTGTTAAATCAGCTGATAATCCACTGTACTCATTTTCCATTTAATTGCAGAACAGAAGCTCAAGGCATAGAAATGTTATAATAATAAAAATAATAATAATAATAATAATAATAACACACCCAAGTATTTCTTTTCCGTCTTTTCTCCTCCATGATTTCTAGAGCCAGGGAGTTTGGAAATGGCGGAAGATTCTTCCCAGCTTTAAAATCATGTTCCTGTACCAAATGAAAGAGCCTGCACCCCCCTCCCCCCGCCGGGCTTGCAAAAGCAACCCAGCCAATTTCTCGTCCAAGGCCGGTGTTTGGGGAGTGGAGGAACGCAGCAGGGATTTTGATTCACAAATCGGGGCCAAATTCCATTTCAGAGAAGCAGCTGGAGGCTCAGAAACCCCAAATGCCAACAAAACTGAGCTTAAAGCTCTTACTGCACATAATTAAACTTAG